ACGTAAGCCAAATGCAACTTTATTAAATTCAAAGACTTGGAGCGGTTTATTAGGACTAAATCTATATACAATACGTTGAAAACAACGATCTTGCGGGCGAACTTTTATTCGTAAATACATTTGTCGCACATCAGCTGAGATGGCGACTGCGAACAATCTCATATTCAAGAGAATAATAAATAAATCCTGTTGTAAGGAAGGACCTGTATGTAGAATATCATTAAGCGAAAATCCAGTACTAGACTTCGCGCTTGCGTCTAGTACCGGCCTTATTTTCGTGGACACTTTGTCCTCACGTAAGACTGCGTGATGCGGTATAAAATAACTAGGGCTGTTATTTTCAATTACGTCTACGGGAGAAATATATTGTTTTTCTATATATTCGTGAATTACCTCATCATAAAGGTATTTCAGTTGCGGTTGCGATGCGAATTTACGTTCCAAATGATAAAATCTGCGTTTAGCGATATCGAAAGAGTTCCCTAAAGACTTAGAACTATACTTAAATGGTAAAGCGACTTCGTAGTGACCTGATTCGTTACGAGTGGCCGTTGTGGTATAAAAATCTTCACAGTATTTATCGTCTATACTTGTTATTGGTTTGCGATCTACTTCTTCAATCTCCCAAAATTTGCGAATTAATACTGAAACCTCGCACGAAGTGGTGGAACAGAACGAGAATGAAGAAGACGTAGAAGTTAAGGTGGGAGCTTCACCTAAAATAAGATAACCGAGAACAGTCTCCAACGCGTTTGGAGTACCAGGTGAATTTATAATTTTACCTCCAGACAAAAGGGTCGCGAATAGATTGACACCAATCAAAAGGTCAATTTCTGATGGTGTTCCCCACGTATCATCTGCGAGCGGAATATTAGTTAAGTAACTGAGCGCGCCAACATCAATTTGACATGTTGGTAAGTTACCTGTTATTTTATTCAAAACTAAAGCGCGAATATTATAATATTGCTCATGATTAAATCTCGATCGGAAAGAGAGATCAACTGCACCCTTAACTGGTTCAGTGGCGCCACCTATACCCTTAACGGTGGTATGTGCGTCCGGCTGCATGGTTAAACCCAATTTTAAACAACACTTAGAAGTAATATAATGCTTTTGTGACCCGGGGTCCAATAAGCAGCGAATGCCAACATCACTCCCATTACGAGCAGTAGCAAATACCTTGGCAGTAGCAAGTACTTCAGTCACATACGGCTGCTCATGAATGGACGATGAAAGCGTGCATAACGACTCCTTGTCTCCACCAGTGGTGGTTCCAATAGGAACGGGAGGTGGTTCTAATCGTGTCTGTTGTGTGGGTTGTGTGTGCGCAAGCGGAGGCAATTGCGACGAAGAAGATGGTGGTAATTGGCGACCGTGCGTATAAGATGTCTGTGCGTTTTTCGTACCCTGAGATACTTGCGTAGGTGCGGAATTATTATTTTTAAAACAAAGCAACGTATGATGTCTCGGATTGTTACAATTTCGACAGGCGGAAGTTGATTGACAACTGAAAGAGTTATGTTGACTACTTAGACATCTAGTACACATACGGTTAGTTTTAATATAATTAAATCGATCATTAATTGTGAAAGTTGAAAATTGTTTACATTTATATAATTGAGAATGTGAATCACCTTTACATAAGGAACAATAAATGCGTTGCGTAGGATTAGTACCTAAATGTACGTGGCGATCGAGCGATCGATCGTTGATGCGACTGTGCACGACCACTGGCGGACGCGGCGGCGGGACCGTCCAACTTGGTGGCGGCAGCGGCGCCGGCGGTGCGGTTACACGTGCGTTGTAATATTTTTACGTGTTGACGTATAAATTTTATAAAATTTTCAAACTGCGGTATGTCATCTTCTCCTCTAATTGATGACTCATACGACTGCGCGGTAGCCTGATCTAATGCCTTTAATCCCATATAAATAAATATAAAATCATCCAGCTTTTCAATTTTAAGTTGCTTTAATGCTGCGATAGTCGACGAGAAAGTATCAATAAATTTTTCTAAGTTTATTGCCGAAGGACCGTTAATTGATTTTAAAGAAAATAATTTATCTAAATATGACGTTGCAAGAGAGCGTTTATATTGATACTTGTCGATTAAAGCTTGCCACAATATAGGATAATTTTCGGCTGCTGGTACTAAGCCAGCACACAGATTTCTAGCCTTTCCTGACAGGTGACTCATAAGATAATGAAAACGTTCTGAGTCCGAAAAGGATTCATTGTCATGAATAACCTGTTTGAATGTTTCGTAAAAGAAAGGAAATTCTAAAATATCACCTGAGAAGACTGGTAACACAATTTGGGGGATCCTTACTGATCCCTGTTTGTTGTCTGGTAAAGCAGACTGACAAGCGGGAGCTGGAGTTCGCGAAGATTGAGGTTGTAACGAGACCGCCATCATCTTTATAGATTGATAATTAACTACATAATCAGGGTTTAGTTCCAAATTAAGGAGAATAATTTCATCGACAATTTTAACATACTCGGTGCGCATTTGATCGATCAGGCTAACTTTTGCAATAAAAACATTACGATGTTTCTCCATTTTAGTTTTCGAAGATAATTCATAAATAGACTGAAGTTGCGAAAAATATTGTGCACGTTTTGCTTCATACATTTTTAATTTTGCGTTTGTGTTAGCCATTATTATTATTTATATATATACTTCTTAAAAAATAACAAAGGAAAACCAATAAATGCGATATATAAAACTATGTGCGGTAATAACGTACAACTATACCTGTACTACCGTAAAAGTGCGAGCGATAAACAATAATAACGTATAATAGGTATTTAATGTACTAAATACCTACAAGACAGACAGATGTACTTGTAGCGAAAATAAGTACACAAATGCGAGAAATGATGCGCGATATAAACTAGCATACATAAAAAATATATGCTTACTATGCTATAAAACTACTAATTAATAATGCGAAAAATAGGTACAACTATTATCTATATATACCTATATGCGAGAAAAATAAAATAATGCATAAAGCAATATTTTAAATATGCGGTGCGAGAAGTAAATCACAATAACGTTTTAAACACTAAAGCGCGTGACAAATAAATTTATATATACCTACTCATAAGCGGTAGTATGTAGGTACATAAGTGCGACAATACGGAATGTAGGTATCGACCATACATCTACAAAAAAAAATATGCGAGCGAAACATAAACTATACATAAAGCGAAATCGAAGTGAGTGATGTCATAGAAAATCAGATAATATATCTATAACTATAACTAAAAAGATATAAAATAACTATGTTCACAACTATTATTTTACGCGGGAGTAGTCTAAAGCGTTGTTGTTAGTCACTGTGTCGATACACCAAGTATAACTTAATCATAGGTACGTAGGGCACGATCTTTAACCGACATGTATTGTATAAAACAGCTATGCGAACGAATACTCAAACAATTTACAATAACCAGCGTATTATACGGCGAGTACTGCAAGGAAATAAAATATCTATTACGAACAGAAATAAAATCGCTGCTTATCAATAATTATTCAGATTAAATAGTGTGCTTTCCCTGCTCACTTTCTTGTGTAAAGACTACGGTAACCAACACTAACAATCTTAACATTCAAACACTACAATCATCATACATAATATTCGACAGGTAATATTGTTTCGTCAAATAGTATAACGACAACTATAATATTTCTAGAAGCTTCGATCGATCGAACAATATCGATATAATGCGGGTGAATGTGAAATTAAATGAACGAAACAACGCAAACAGATATAAAGCGAAATTGAAGAATTGAGCTGCGAGTTATGAACAATTCATAAGCGACATAAATATAAACTTATTTATTAACGAAAATACCAATGTATCGTTATATTTGTGCAACCGTGGTATGCAATTTGAATAGATCCTATTACATGCGCAATAAGGTTCAATATTACATGCGAGTCATTCACTCGACTTTCACAATAGGAAAAAATTAAAACAAATTTTAAATAAATAAATTGCGATTCCTATTGTGATCCGGCGACGGAAGGCCAATAAATGGTGCGGCGGTGGCTATGATCTAGCCTTCTTCGATGGACTATATTGTTGTATAGGAAACTGGCTGGTCAAATATGAATGACTTACCCTTACTTCAATGTGCTTGTTCTTCAGTGGGCCCACACGGTTACGGGAATCTCAGGAATTCACTCAGGTTGATTACAACTATTAAGACATGCGTGCGATATGAGTGCGACGTGCGCGCGCGGCGAAAGCTATGACATCACTGATTATTGAATTAGCCGGGAGGGGTGTCAATGCACATCAACAAACCAGGTACGCATCGCGTTTGGCGTAACCAACATGTATAAATGATAATACGCTTTACGCACTTTTATAAAAAGGCGTTATTTATATTGTGATGTTGTATAAAGTTTATTTCAATTCATGTTGTTTGTTCGACGTTTTTGTTGAATGTTTTTTTGTACTTTGCATAAAGCAATATTATTTTGTTTAAAAGTTGTTTCATTTATTAAATTATCACCTATACTTACATCCTTGGTATTGCGGATCTAGCTATCTACTTCCCATGGTCGCAGATACGATTCTCACACTATGAAGACATTTATACTAATGTCAAGGAGTAGGTATACAAAATAAATGTATTTAAATACTTCTATCAGTTGTTTAGTACCAATAGTATAAGCTCTGTTTATTTTCGAAGTCGTTAATTTAGCACTATAAGTCAATTGTTCTGTGTTATTATTATTATATATGTATATTTAAGACTAGATGGTGAAAATTTCAGAACGTAAATGATTGTTAATAGTAGGAATTAGTAATCCAATACTAACAATGTAGAATGTCGGTCGTGCTGATCATCTGACTGACACGTGACACCGCCCCTGGATTCCTAGTTAATTCCTTCACTGGTGCACCGCCAGCGAATATTGGGTGCGCTGACGTGTGCACCATTCCATTATCATGAAATAAATGAATGCATTGAAAAAATTAGATACTACATAAAAATATATAATTTATTGTCATAATAACAATCTTATAACTAATAATAATAACAATGATCTAATATTTACATTTACATGAATTCAATCAAGTAATGCAAAAATCAATTGCAATTTCTAGGTATGCATATAAGGCGGATTCTTAGATGTTTATTTATATATATTTGTTATAGATTCAGTCGTGATCCTTCAACAATTCATCTTCTAGATCTACGTCCTCAGCTTTCCGTTTTTTAGCTCTCGGCCGCTTGCCGTGCAGCATCTCCAATTTAATCTTCTTAGATTGCTTCTTTTTCTCCTTTAATTGCAATTTCCTTTTGGCTGCTCTCTCTGGATTGTTCACTTTCTCTTGCAGTAATATCTGCAATTATACGGAAAGTATTTATACAAATTTCTAACGGTAAGAATTGCTATAATAAACTAAGGGCGAAATGTGGTCAGTGTACTTAGTGGCATTAATATAGTCCTGATCTATATAATCTCTTTAGCAGGTTAAATTTTGTATTTTGTATATTACTAGTGGTCGCCCAATGGTCGAATTTCGGCCATAATAAATTTACATTATAAGTTTGAACATTATTAAGGTTCTATTGTCAAAGACTTCTACGCATAATTAAAAAAAAATTAGCATTCTCTACTTTATATAAACTATAAGTGTACGGAATGTAATACTCTTCCGTTCGCGCAATTTTTGTAAAAAGGGGGTTTAAAGTTTAAATTTTTGATTCACATATTAATATACATAATAAAATAGAAAATCCAATATAAATAACGATTCTGAAACGATACTACATATATCAACAAAGCATACCTTTTTCCGCTCAGCCCTCTTAATATTCAACTTCATTTGGACTTCAGAAACCATTTTTCCATATTCTATATCTCCTATCTTCCGTCTCAACTTCTTGCCAAGCCTTCCCGCCAGTTGTTTGGGGAGCGACGCCGGCGCCTGCGCATCTCCAGTGGACAATTCCCGTACTATTGGTGGTAACAATACGCTTACGACTTTATTGAGTTCTTCGGTTTCTAATATACCAATTACGTGCATCCACATTGTAAATACAGACGATCTCTGAAAGATTAATATATCAATATATTCGACGGTCTCGGTGGTCACGTGGTTTCGTATACCGCTTTACTATGGATGATCGCGGGTTCGATTCCTCGCACGGTGTTTAAATTATATTATTGGGCTCTTGCACAATGAAAAGTTAATGACAAGTAAGTATTTAGGCTAAAAACCTGTGTTCAATACCATAAAATCAAAATATCTTTATTCATGTAGGTTTATTACTCTTATGATTTGTCAAAAGCTACCATCAGGTCGGAGAGCATTCGAGCTAAGAGACTGCCTATAATACTTACAATATTCACTGAATTGGGAGCCTTAGCGACTTCCGCGTTGATAGCTTTTCTCGTTTTGAATAGTATCCACCTTATGTTGACCTTATGACCTTCTGTATGTTCGTCTTCGTCTGTATTATTTCCAATTTTGAAACCCGACATTGTGTGGACAAGTTTAAGAATAAGGAACAACACTGCTGTCACCTGAAAAAAATAATAATATATAGAGGGCACACATTTTTTCTCGTTCCATTCAAACATTCATGGACATTTCCTTCTACTTTTTCAAATTCTCACAACCAACTCTCTTTCATTATATATTTTGTTATGTTATTGACTTTCTCTGGAAATGTACTATTCATTTTATATTACATACTAGCAACTCGCCCTGGCTTCGGACGGGTGTACATGTATTATATATACATATAAAACCTCTAGAATTACTCTATCTATTAATAACAACCGCTTCAAAATCCGTTACGTAATTTTAAAGATTTAAGCACACATAGACACAGACAGCGACAGCGACTTTATTATTTACTATGTAATAATAATGAATAAGTAGTTTATTAATAAACAAATAAAAGCAGATTCTTTGATAATAACATCTGAAGCAAAATATGTATTATTGTTTTGATTTTTAATTAACATTCATTAAACTTATATGTGTTTTATTATTTAATTTGAATATTAATCTTCCGGTTCTATGATGGTAACAGTAACCCTCGATAATATACATGAAAGCTTCAACCGAAACACAGCTTACAAAGCAAGCTACTTGGCGACTGAAATAAGTCGGTCCACTTTTTTTAGTCTGTCTTTGGTCTATAAAAAAGAACAAATGAGCGTAAACAAAAACTAATATTTTAGTATACTGTACATCTCATAAATGCTTTGACACCTAATGGTTACCCATTGAAAGTATGATCTCATTCTTATTTAACAATGTTTCATTACACTACATTTAACTAATAATAAAAAATACATACTTGTTCAGACATTTCCTCAGTCACGTTCGGCGTATACTGGGCACAAAGATCTAATACAATACTCCTAATTGCATCTTCTGTATCGTAGTATATAAATCCTCTTTCAGACTCCACTTTTCCCTTGACAATCATGTCTAATTCCCCAGGATCCACAGAAGATATTATAGCACCAAGTATCTTAGCTGCTTTCAGTCTCACCCAAGCGTGAGGATAAGCCAGTAACGCTTGACATTGCTGCGCTAACTCGTCGAAATCATACATGTGTTTCTTACTTTTCATACTAGACTCGCAATGTATTGTTATTGCGTCGATTAAATTCATTATCTGTATTAAGCTGTGATCTCTTTCTTTCAGCTTGTCTTCGTCAGTTTTGTCCTCGGATTCTTCCAGCCGTAGTTTGACGAAGCGACCTTCAGTTACGTCATTACTAAGAAGTAATATTTTGCTGCCTATTATAGACAGGATGGGGTCTAAGCGGTTCTTGAATTCTTTTTGTTCGACGTTCACGAATCTGATGCTCAATTGAGCTGCGAGCTCGAAATGTATCGCCTGTAATGTTACAAATAATAATTAATATGTAATAATAATAATAATAGTACACGTGGACAATTCAACAGCGCCATCTCGCCATGTCGTCATATGACGTTGCGCCTCATTTGTCGCTATTTCGGAGGACTAATTATAATTGAATTTGTATTTTATTTTGAAACTTTGACATTCTGTGTTGATTTATTTATATGTTCGCCCATTTAGGAAAATTGTGCTTCAAACCATCTGTTTATACTATGATAGTCGCAAACCAGAATCCGGGCCGTCTGATGGTCAACTATAGCCTATAGACCTCGAAAACACCAAGGATATTATCACTTCAATAACTAAATCATCATACTTGTTACATATATTATACAATATTTACAACAAACCTGCGTATCTTCAAAGAATTTGAGCACCAATTGGAAGAGTTTATTCCTCTCCACGAGGGGAAACCTCTTAAGCATCGCTTCGATACAAGCGGCAGCTGACGCCCGACATTCCGGCGCTGGATCGTTTAACATTGACGCACCCAGAGCTAACAGTAGATAGTCGCCTTGCTTCGAAAGTTGCGGCTACAATATTAAATTAAATAATGGAAACTCTTGCTTGAATACACAAATAAATAAATATCTCAGGACACATATTGCGCCATCTAGTCCGAGGCTAAGTGGAGCTTGTGTTAAAGGTACTAGACAACTAAAGGAATACATACGAGTATGTATATGTACATTATCATAAAAAACCCCAGACCGATACAAACAGTTCATAACTAGAATATGTTGTGCCGTGCGAGGAATCGAATCCGCGACCATCGGAAGATTTAGTATAAATCTTCTATCGTAGGTATCGCCTTTCACTTACCTCAGACTTAGACTTAGACTCGCAAGGAAGTGCCATATTACAAAGTTCTCATTATAAAAACAAATAAATACTTACAAAAGGTAACTTATTGATGATCATATCCAAAAACTTGAGGGAGGACTCTCTGCCGTGTTGCAATTCGTAATTGAGTTGTGAAACAAAGAACTGGACGTACTTATCCATTCGTTTTCCAGGTGAATAGTTAGTTAGGTAGCTTACAAATATTGTACGTGCTTCATCCCTGTAAAAGAAGTATTATTACTACGATCACAGACTTTTTTGGGCACTTATTTATTCTTAACTTCCTTCGAAAATGCTCTCAAATCAACTGTATATAACAATAAAATTTTACTGTAATTAAAACACTTTAATTGAATTATTCCAAAATTTAAAAGTTACTATAGTCCAACGGACATTGCCTTAATGTAAAATAATATTGTTCACTTTTAAATAACACGCTTATTTGTGCTATTAATGTGGTACCAAACCAATGATACCAATACTTAGATTATAATAATTAGATTGTAAAAATTCTGCAAATTTCACCTATTTCGGCCACCAAGCAGCTGGCTTTATAAGTCTTTGCAGGATATCTAATTCCTCTGGAATGGCAATGCATATGTGGTATCACGGATATCACGTGATAACGTGATATCCCTATATTGGCGACGGTTACTGCTTAACATCAGGACCAGCTTGTTTGTCATTCCAATTACCGTACAAAAAAATTATTTACCTTGATCTTGCCGATTCGCTGAGTATACAAATTTTTGAGACTTTCTGCAACACCTCATGGAGTTCGGTCGATACCAATCTAGCATCTAGGATTGCTTTAAGTAGAGCAAATGAATTGGCTTGTTTCTCATCATTCTGACAATCTTCTTCCGCATACAATAGTAGAGTTTTTAATTGCTCCGCTTCTAATTTATAATATTTTACATTACGTACTAATGCAGTCACTGCCTGTAAATTTTATGCTATTTTAATCGATAGATGGAAACGTAATGAAGTAAGGTCTAAAGTGAAATTCGCAGTATCAATAAAGAAACTTTACAATGAAGATGGTAGATTGAAATTTAATGCTAATGAATGTTAGACACTATTTTTATGATTTTATCTACTAGTTAGAATCTTTAAACATAAAGATTCAATCCAAAAAATACAGTTAAAATATTTATATCTCATATTTTATGGAATAAAAATATATTTATTTAATTACCTTAAATGCGTTCCTCACTAAATGATAATTGTCATTTTGCTTACTGATTTCGAAAGTCGCATATTTATGCAATATCATGAATATCGTTTTTACAATATCCTGAACCATTTCCTCTAAAGTCGGTGTACTGACTCTGATTGTCCACAACGTCGATATGCACTTCATCGCAACAGTAGTTACTTTGACATGGTCACTTTTCAGAGCATCCACCAACAATGATATCAATGGATCTACAAAGGCTCTACAATCCATTCTTGGGGCCTTTTCTCTTTTAAGCAATATATACAGTATATTCAAACTGAATTCCACCAATACATGAGCATTGGCTTTTCCAGATATTTTAACATTTTTTGCTTGAGCTTCCCTATTGCGTTTTGGGATTTCAGGTATAATAAAGCAATCTGGTTTCGCGCGTATCATCTTTTCCCTCTGCGCCTCGGTGATCACTCTCTTCGGGGCGTTCAATACGAATTCTGGTATACTCTCTGACGCTATACCATGAAGAAAAACAAATAGTGATTCTATTTCAATGAACTTATTTGTTACCAAACCACTAGAGATATGCAGTAATGCTTCTTGTACTTTTAATACCGTTTTCTTCGAATGATGCTTTTGCAGAACCTCTTTAAAAGGCAATAACAGGTTTATGAGATAGTTTTCAGTTATATTCTGTGACACAATCATCAATGTAACATAACTTTTTTTACTTGGCTTTGCTTCTGGTGTTTTATAGTGTAACTTATCTATTTCTTTCTCTTCAGACAACGCTCCAAAAAGATCGTTTGTGCACACATCAAGAATGTAATGAAGATTTTCATTCAATTCCCCAGACTTGAAATCAGATTTCAAAGCATCTAATACTGTATGAATGGTGGCCACTAGCACATGAACTTGGAATCCTCTTGTCAGTAATATTGTAAGGTGTTCAAGTAAAATACCAAGATATGAAGTTCCGACAGTGATCATAATTTTCTTTACGATATCCCTTGCCGCTATTCTTACTTGTTTCAAAGGTGATTTGAGAAATGAGCAAAGTTTTATAATTATTCTGTAAAAAACAATATTTTACAGTGCATTACTACTCATTTTATGACCTGAGATGGATAGGCAAAGCAAGCAAGAAATTAGCTTTATCGGAAACTTTACAAACTGTGGTATGCATCTTTATTATTATCCTTCTGTACAGAAATTAGTAGTATATTGTTAAATAAGGGTCACCATATAAGCTAAAGTAGGTTGAGAAAAATATCCGGCAAAGTGGGGAAAAATGAATAATTTTCGTTACTATACATTTTATTTAGTCAGTTGGTTGTATTACTATTATCACAGATAACATAATATATTATTGTAATAGTTGACCAAAAACAAATAATAACATAAAAATATGTACCAGTTCTGTTTCTTGCAAATTTTTATATATAAGTAGTATATTGATTTTGATGATTTTTAGCAGATTAATGTTGATTCAATCTTATCTGGACATCCCTTCATTTGGAATCATCTCTTATTTATATTGTATCACTTATCAAACTGTGATCGTTATGTTATCGGTGCGTCATTATCATAGAAAAACCAACACAGAAGAATCTAAATGTGTTTGTTTTAAAACTAGTATATTACTCACCCTGGCAGCTGATGTCTGAGCAAATCTCCAGGTAATCGCTGCAGCAGCTTTACGAGGGCTAAAGCAATGGGCACACGTAGCATATCTTCCTCCTGCCGCTCCAAACCCATACGGCGACGATTCAACTTATGAGACTCTTCGTGATCAGTCATTTTGCCTATTGCCCTGTATATGAACATATGTTTCATTAAGGTATACAGTAAATTTTATTGGAATTTCTCCAGTAGTTTTAGGAACAAACATCCAACCATGACAAATTATTTTCGTGTTCATAATATTAATATTGGAGATGAATAAAATAACTTACCGATTCAACTGAGGAAGCAATCCAGCAGATAGAGACTTGATAATTCTTTTAGCTACGGAAGGAGAGACACTTGTTATCCTTTCAAAAGCTGGAACATTATTTACATCTCTGAAAGTTTCTTCTTCCTCAAGTTCCTTGTCTGCTTCTTTCAATTCATTTTCAATATTCACTTCTGCAACTTGTTCTTCTAAATTGCTTTGATCTTCAGTTTTATCTTCTTTATCATTATCTACTTTATTAGTATTTTCATCAGCTTTTAACTTTGTTTGAACTTTTCCTAATTCCAAATTTGCGATTAATGCTTTAGGTAACTCAATATTCTCAACCTTTGAAAAGTCGAAATGGAATGCATCAATAACTCCTATAAGTATACGAGTTAACTGTTTCTGATGTTCTGTAGAATAACGAATTTTGTTTAAATAGAGTTTTAGAATAACTTCATAGTGATACCAAGGAAGTAATCTGCAGCATGTAGAAATCACATCTATGCATGCATCTATTAATGTATTCTTATCAGTGTATTTATCATCACAAATATACATAGTCGCTAAAGGTAAAATGAAATTTGTGAGAGTTCTAGGTGTATGACATTTAGTTAATTTCTTTGATACTTTACAGAATTTTAAGAGCGCTCTAACTCGTCTATGCATTTGCAGATGACACATATTGTCAAAGAAATCTACTTCTCTATCCTCATTATTTGTTAACTGTGCCAAATCTGATATGACCACATCGACGTCTGGACATTCTCTAGCCAGGTTTCCCAATAAAGCAATAGATTCATTTCTTAAAATTTCATTTTTGGAATCTCTAATTCCATTAGATATCAGAGACAGAACGGTATCACGAACAAGAAATTGACCATCAGTAGTCGATCGGTACTTCATAAGCAAGTTGGGTAATATTCTCTTCAAACATAAGGCAGCGCTATCACGTAACCCAATATCTTTCTCAGTGCGAATGAAATAAAAACAATTATTAACAATTAATATTGCCAGATCAATATCAATTTGATTGTTTTCTGATAGTTGATATATTGTTTTATAAGTATCCAACCTCCTATCGAAATCCGGCTGTTCAATCCATCTTTTGTTGTAAGCATTCATTTCCGAAACTACATTAGCTAATTGACTAAGTACAACATTTGTTTTCGAATTTTCAGAAATAGAAAATAGAAGTTTTATAAGCAATTTTCTAACTTCAACTGGAGAAACTTTATTAAATAAAACTGCTATATGCTTCAAATATACCTGTGGATTAGAGCTGTGACCTAACAAGTTTATTATTGTAGTGACGGCATATTCCATATTTTCTTCCGCCATATTCATACAAATTTTCTTTACCAATATTGGTAATAATAGATTCAATAATTCATCACATAATTCTGGCTTCGCTACCAACTCTGTAACTCTTGATAGAATCAATAAGTCTCTTTTATTCACTGTATTGGACTTTGCTGTATTTGCAAATCGTCTTTTCATCACTTCTAATATAGAGGCGACATGTGGGATCAATATTTTACTTCCGAAATTGATTACAGTTACTCCCTCAGATTTTTCAACACTATCAACAAATACATTTTGAAAACATTCAATAGGTGGTACTGCTGTATCTTCTTCATCTTCAGTTAGAGTAAGAAGTTTTTCTATCATATCAAGAATCATATTAACTACACCTGGACTAGTTTTTGAAGCTAACAAAAGTTTAAAAATTGATTGCAATGGACTCATAGAATCGTCTTTTTCCGAGCATACAATTAGTAAAGTGTAATATCTAGGATTCAGGCACCAAGTATTGAACAATTTCAGTATTACAGTTGGGGTGTGAATACCATCAATATGTAGTTTTGGAATCAATGGCCACAGTACTGTATCATACATAACATACAATTCTTCTTCATTCCATACATATTTATCAAATTGTTCAAACATTTTTCTAAGAATACTTACAGATACAATTCTGAGATTTTTCAAAGTTTTAACGAAACCAATATGAACTTTCTCACCACGAGCCAAAACACTTCCTAATGTGGAACATATAGCATAATAGACTGTGAACAATTGGCCTAATAATGCATCCTTCATATACCCTCCAAAGTACTCTATTACAACTTCAAATAGATTCAAAACACTGTGAAGTTTGCCAGGACTTACAATAGATTTCAAATCTAAATTAGTTGCAATATTTTCCAGAATTTCCTTTGGTTTCATTGTCATGTACTGTCTAAAATGTGAGAATGCCATTTCTAAAAATATTTTTAATTCATTCTCATTACAGCCGGCTAAATATCGCAATACTAGTGATCTTCTCGTTTGTCCACCACCTTTTTTATCCGCGCCTAATTTAGTTGTCATCTTTCCATACAAAATTCTCAAAATAATAGGCACAACATGTTCTCTATCTTCTGGTTGAATACTTTTTGAATCCTCAGTTATTTTAAATTGAGTTAACTCATCTTTAAGTTTGTTTTCATCTATTAAATTGTAAAGATTGCTTTTGTAAGGAATAACACTTTTATTTTTGTAATTCAAAACACAATCTAATGCATATTTCTGAAGCCCTGGATTCTTATGCTTTAAAAATTCCATGTAGAGTTCCCAAAATATAGGTTCTTTATAAAGAGCTCTTGGGTTCTTGAACTGAGCTAATACTTGCATTACACCAATAAGAGTTTTAAATATTATTTTCCCAGACGCAGTTTCTTTAGGATTATCAGGTTCAACAATTTCTTCTGTATGTTCTGGGTTCTCTTCATCAACCTCTATTTTATTATTATCTCGAATTTCGACATCAATTTTCAAAGCATTAGTATTATCATTCCTTTTATATTCATCCTCAATAAAGTTCAAGAATAATACGACTACATCACGATTTCTGGCTTCGCAAGCTTGTATGCAATTCGTCATAATTTTCAATATCAAATTTCTGTAATTATACAAGTCAGGTCTTTCTGAAATGCTATTATAACTTGCATACAAATCTATAAGAACTTCATAATTGCTTTCTATTTCATTATCAAATTGAAAGGTTTTCAGATCTCTTTTGGCATTTACAAATGACGATTCCAATGCTTTGTGGAAAGTGGGCCAGAATTCGTCAACACTTAGAGAATTTCCATAGCCAGCTATGAACTCAGAAACTGGCTCCCACAATAACTTAAAGTTAATATATAAAACGCCAAGCATATAACTTAAAGGAAAATATTTAAAGTTTGTTTCCTTTGTCAGTTCATACTGAATGGAGTTAAATGACATCTTTTGCAACATGTTTATTTGACTTCTATATTCCTGGATGGAAGGATTAGTGGATTCAATCGTGTAACATCTACTGAAGACTGAGAAGCGCTCTACATTACCCCCTACTTCTACAGTCTTATTCAATTCTTCAACATTTTCAAATAGCTTATAAATATGTGTAGTTAATAAGCGAACCTGAAATTACACAATGAAATTAAACATCTAAATGTGATACATATAAATATATTACATTATATATTTTTACTATTTATAACCTATTTAGCTTTCCGAGGGTGGATTGTAGTAATATATTTTATTAATAATGAAAGACGGCCTATGTTAGACTGTTAGTTTTCTATAGGTAAAATAAAAATTAGTTAAGTATCTTTTCAATTTATGTATAATCAAAGAATCTCTGAATTGCTCTGCAAGCTACCTATGTAAAATTCTAAAATAACATTTTCATAGCTAAATAATACTAAGGTGCCTATTTCTATTTATATACTATTTAGCTAAGGTCTAATGGAAAATTAATACTTACAATGTGGAAGGGAGATGACACATTACTTCTTAAATATGAATCCACCAATGACAAATAAGCATATGTTAATCCATTCTCATGTTCATATGCTGTCAAGTATAAATCTAATAAATGCAATGCACACACATAATTAGGATCTGCAGCACAAGGCAGTACTGCAGGTAACAATACTTCAATATCACATATCTCTTTCAATCTCTTACAACTGGATATATGAATAGCACTCTCCAAAGAATTTGCTATTATAAATAGAATCAATCTGCCGCATCTAGAAATAGCAGTTATGTCACAATGATATTTATTATATTCCGGCTGATTTTCAATATTGTAAGTCAACAATATATTTAGTAATTTAGAAATAAGTCCACAGATTGTCTTTAAACATCGATTTACATCAATTTTTTCTACATGTGGCAAGCAAAACAACACATTCATTAATTTCATTGGACTCTGCACAATGTTATGAATATCATCATTGAGAACACTGTCAAAATGTTCCATGAAATGTGGAAGACATTTTCCAAAATCTATTGGGTACTTGACCCAATCAAAAAGTTTTATACCATTTTTAGATAATGGAGACTTCTTCAGGCATATTTTAGTTAGAGTACTCATTGCTTCATTGTCGAAACCAGACTGTATAACGAAATTCAGAAATGGTGGTAAAATATGCATATCAAACTGAGGATAATCAATCACATTTCGAACAAAATTAATTAAAATTGTAGGATATGGTAGCGGGAGTAGAACTTTAACAATTATTCCCGCATGTTCTTGAGACAGTGATATATTTGATGACAGAAGTAGTAGTGCTCCAATCTGTGCACACACTTCCAGTACATTCTCTGATGATTGTTCACATATTACCTTCACCAAGAGTAGAACAAATTGTGGTGGGTTTGTCAAATATTTTCCATCATTGTGTTCAATGATTTGACCTGCGAGTCTCAAAATATACTCTAAACCTTTACTTTCATCATCTTTCAATACATCTTCACAGAACTTTAGTGCACTTTCCCAGAATACACTGTATTCTTTTGGTGCTATGGTTTGCAAACTATCCTCAAAAGTTTGAGTGAGTACCTTGAATAGAATATCTTGGTGTTCTTTATTATCTTTCAGGTGTTGCAGTAATACTGGTAAGAAAACATCTATACAGTTATGAAATTTACCACTCACACCTCTAATTATTTCGAATATGAGATGTCCACATCCAGTTATTGCCTATAACAATACAAATTAATTAAGAAAGTGAAAAGGAAGGAAGTTGGAAAATATTTTCAATATAGAGCCGAAATAAATAGATAGGGTAGAGTAATAAAAATATAACTACAGAAATGGCATTGCTTATAGGACAGTCATTCTGTCAAAAGTTTTTTCAAAATATACTGTATATGTTTTAAAAAACTTTATGCAGAATTACAAGTGCATGGAAAAGATACTGGTCATTGAAAACTATAATGAAGAGCAAACAATACCCCATTAACTTAAAAAAGAAACTTTTTAATACCTGTATCTTACCAATACTAACATACGGATGCCAAACATGGGCAATGACCAGGAAAAATATGCAAAAACTAGTAACATGCCAAAGGAGTATGGAGAGAAGCATGTTGGGTTATAACAGGAGAGATAGAAAGAGAGTGATGGACATAAGAGTTCTCACAGGTTGGGATGAAGTTACAACTAAAATAAAAAGGTTGAAGTGGAAATGGACAGGTCACACACTAAGGGGAGATATGAGATGGACGAAAACTGTAACTGAGTGGATTCCCCATCATAAAACGAAACGAAAAAGAGGAAGACAGTACAGGAGATGGTCTGATGACCTTAGAAAGATTGCCGGCCCACTGTGGCTCCGATTGGCAAAAGATAGGAACACATGGAAAACACTGGAGGAGGCCTTTGTGTCTAAAGGACACGTTGACTCAGAGACTGATGTGCAGAATTAGAAGTAACATAAAATGTATATATAACTAATATTTCTTTTATATTTTAAACTTTTAATCAAATATTATGATAGCTTGTATAATTTTGTGTCAATTAATAAAGGCTTTGAATTTGAATTTGAATTGAATTGAATTGAATGCAGAATTATACTTAATATATAAAGAGTGTTTTTTTAATTGTATATATTTTTTAAAGAATTTGTTGTGGTTGTGGTATCGGCTTAAGACTTGTATTTCAATAGTTCAACAAATGGTTTCGTTTTCTAATTGTTTATGGTTTTAGGAAATATGTTTGTTTATTTTTTTAAGCAAGGTTGTGCAGTTTTTTTTGTTGTATGTAGTGCTACCCACTTGAGTATTAATCTAGAAGAAACTAAATATACTCACATCTTCATTTCTTTTCAAGTAACTAAGTAATAGTTCGATGAACTTTTTCTTGTCTCTTATATCACGAGTAACAAAAGCAAAGCTTTCAGCTGCAAAATTGTTAATGTACTGTGGTTGATTATCACTAAGGAGTGGTATAATTCGTTTTAGTACAATGGCTATATCTTTCTTCAAATACGGTTTTAAAACTTTGAAAAGAAAAGCTAAACATATTAGTGTCCATTCCAACCTCTCTGCATCTTTTGTGTCCAATAATTTTATAAGTATGTCTAGAAATCTTGGAAAATATGGGTAAAAGTCACTCCTTAAATCCTTTGCTATAGAAACAAGAATCCTGAAAAAACATGTTCATTGTTTATAATAAAGATATATTATTTGCTGTTCCTCATTTATTAAAAAAATATATAGAATATTTTAACTAATGTCAAAAAGATATAGTTATGCAAAATTTATTACATTCAGGCAAGTTAGGCTTGAAAATCAAGAAAGTCTACTTTGAATCAAAATTTTTTATTTATTAATTGGCCAGTATATACACATGTAGATATTTAAATTATGAATGATATATTATATTTAATATGATTGATTAATTATATAAGAAATATTTTAAACTTACTCCAGCAATGGTTGAAGACAGAGTCCATCTTCCAGTTTTAAATACCTCTCCAATATTACTACAACATCCTCTTTGCGGTGTACTAATTGTGGCACAGTTACTATGCCAAATACTTCCTTCCGGAATCTTTTAAAATTTTCTGTCAAGTTAAGTCCGTACCATTTCTGTAGTGCCAGAGAGAAATGTGTTTCATTTTCATCTGGTTGTTTTGCATACACATGCTCAATGTGATACAGAGCCGCATGGCGGATGTCTATGCCATTGATCCTCTCGGCAAAAGGGATAAACTGGAAAGTAGACAAATTTATTTTAAAAAACATTCTGATTATGTACATTTAAATTTTTTCTATAAAAGTACTCTCGAAGTACCAAAATTAAATATTTATATTAGTAGTAAGATTAATTACCACTGTTAAAACAATATTAACTAGATTTTACTGAGTACAAAATTAAATATGAAAATTTATTGCTTCTTAAAAAATACAAACATATTGGTTTCTTTCAATATAAATTTATAGAATGTCATTTTTTTAATTATTGATCATACTAAATAACTCTTAAAAATATACATTTTGGCAATGGGTAAATTATCATTATCAATGATTATATCTATTGAAGTTATTACTGAACTACTATAAGCGCCTTAACCTTAGTAATGATAAGGTTAGAAATTTACAAAGTTTGTTGATGAATTACCCGAAATGTATTCGCTGTTTTATGTTTTACTGGTTTGCTCTTCATTATTTAGACGACTCTTCTATGTGTGTTATTGTTTATTCGCAACACCAATAATACCGCATCGAAATAAACATTGGTAAACTTTTAATTCTAAATTCTTAAAAATGTACAAATTTGACATCTGATCTGACAACTGATTCTAACCAATCAACCATAATCCGAACACGTGCTCCATATAAAAAGAAATTTTCAGTCTTATTGTTAAGGAATAAGGATTATTTTTAATTCAGCCTAAAGTAGTCATTGATAAAGAAAACAATTCTTTTGAGAATTCAAAATTAAGAATTCTGTCCTTTTTACGTTACATTTTTTTTAAATATCATATATTATAGTATGAGAATTATTTTTAAATAGTAATTTACATATCAAATAAAACTTATTTAAGAAGTCGTAATTTCTCGGTTAACATTATTTTGTGGCATCCCTTTGATAATAATCATGCCGTGCGTCATGATAATGTGAACAGGAGGAAGTATTTTGTTGAATCTTTTCATTCGTTCTTTCTTTTGGCGAATGGATTTTTATTAAATGATGGAATACTGTTCCTTTACTGACAGTTTTATTTTTGTTTTTTATTTAGGGTATCTTAATTGAAATACGAGCGAACAAATATTTGTTTACTTTTGTGAGGCATCAATATAGTACCTTTTATAATTTCTTTTAACGTCTTATTTCTCTAATATTTGTATTATATTCAATGCTTGCTAGGATTGTAAATGCGTTGCCGTTCGGCTTATCACAACAAATAACTAAACTTTACTTCCAAGGTTAGTACAAGTAGTTAAGTAAATATTTACATTATTTTCGTTGTACACCATGTTTAACTAAATTTATTACTGTGCTGTATAATTTCTTGTGTATGCTTAGCTAGGAGACTAACTTATTATTATTTTAATAATAGGAATCAGTAATAAGTTATTCAATATTAATGAACGCTTTAAAATAATGACGACACTACTATTATATTTTTGCACTTGTAGCACTTATTCGTAACCAACGAGAAGCTCATAGTTTTCAAGAACATCACGAGTACAACAATATGGATGTTAAAATACTGCCTGCACTCCAAGATAACTACATGTACCTGATTGTGGACAAGGCGACTAAAGAAGCAGCTGTTGTAGACCCTGTAGAACCAAAAACTGTGTTACAAGCGGTGAAGGAACATGGGCTAACTCTTACAACTGTCCTAACTACACATCACCATTGGTAAAACTTGATTAATGATTATGTACTAAGATAAGTGGTCATCCACAAATTCCATGATATTTACTTCCCCTCCTTGTTATCTCCCTTTCTCATCATAGCTAGTCACATTTACGAGACCCCCTATCCTAGTGTGACATTACATGATTTGCAATTTTTGTTATTTAAGTTTAAACAATCATCAATAAAATTAGCATATACATACCACTGGAAATAGAAAATCTTAATCACAAAGTTAGAATATTCTTTGTTTAAATTATCTACAATTTTTTATTGTAATTAATATTTTTTGTTGTACATGTTACAGGGATCATGCTGGTGGTAATGAAGACTTAGTTAAGTTACATCCAGGTCTTCAGGTATATGGAGGGGATGAACGAATTGGAGCATTGACAAAGAAGGTCGAACACAATACCAACTTTAACTTAGGACGCCTTAATGTACAGTGTCTGTTCACACCATGTCATACTTCAGGTCATATTTGTTACTTCATAACAGCTCCTGAGGAGGGCAATGATTCTGCTGTGTTTACAGGTAAATACATACAGACCTTTATTGAATGACTGTGACTAGGAACCTTCAATTTTTGAGGTTCCTTTTATTGTGTGAGGTGTCCTCCTCCTGTTTTTTTAGTAATTCACTAGACAGTGTTTATCATAGCTAGATCGAAGATAATAAAGTATTGAAAATTAATATGTTATATTGTAGATAATACACGGTATAATACTGCATATAATTCATAAATTATTTCAGTTTTCAGTTTCACAAGATAGATTGTAAACTATCAGAGTTTATAATCTATTTATGAGAGTAAAAAGTATAATTAGGTATGTTTCTTTACAGGAGACACTTTATTCCTTGGTGGCTGTGGAAGATTCTTTGAAGGCACTGCTGATCAAATGTACAAGGCTCTGATCACAATTCTTAGTAATCTACCTGATCAAACCAAAGTCTTCTGTGGACATGAGTATACTCTGCAGAATTTAAAATTTGCACTACATGTTGAGCCAAAGAATGAGGAAATACAAAAGAAAATCGAGTGGTCTGAGGAGAGACGCCAGGAAGGGAAACCTACTGTGAGTTCATTTATAGCAATATTTTTAATCTTATTTAAAGAACTAAGCTGAATCTGGCTGAACAATGTTTTATCATATTGTAAATTGGTTGGTCCTTGGGAAAATTTCAACAAATGGGTGGTGGTACCCATGAAGGTCACAGGTAACAGTTGTCTCTTAACTCTATAATAAAGTTTGTGTTTGAGTCATTATTAATAGTATGGTTTCCAAGGACTACTGGAGACCCATTGCTAGCAATGCATCATGTCAGCCTAACTTGTACACTGTCCCTACTGGATGCCATCTAGTTAATTCCTGCAAAATTTGCCATTTTCAACTAACTGACTAGACTTTATCCTTCACTGGTGCTCCTCCAGTCTACACCATTAGCATAATGGAGTAGACTGCTAATGCAACTTTTCATATTCATCCATTGAAAAGTATTAAATTTGTATGTATGAATCCCATAAAAATGTAGGTTGCCGTAAAAGTGAGTTTATTAAGGTTTACTATAGCCTTTTTATAAATGCAATTTTTTTAATCTCTTTTAAAATATATTTTTAATTGATTGCTTGAGTGTTCTTTTGTTCAGGTACCATCAACAATAGGTGAAGAAAAATTATATAATCCCTTTATGAGAGTGACAAGGTCTCCAGTGATGCAGCACGCTAGAAAATCAGATGGGATAGAAACCATGAAAGCCATTCGGCTTGAAAAAGATAATTTCAAAGGTTAAAATGAAGATTTTTCTCTGACAGAACTTGGCATTTATTACTTTTGGGCACAAGATTATTATTTATTTTTGTTGTTGTAAAATAAAATTTTATATGCAAGTGTATTATTATATCTTTTTTTATGACAATTATCTACATATAGAGAAATATGAAATTGTGTAGAGTGAAAGATTATATATGTATATATTACTTGTATATTGAGAGCCTTGGTGCTCAACATTTTTATCTCAGATTCCATTTGAATTTGCAAACATTTGTCATATATTAGTATGATTGTTTGTATCAATCTGGGGTTTTATAGTATCACTGAAAACTGTTGTTTTTGTGTAACACAGTGTAATGTTATATAATATATATCAAGTATACAATATTTATTTACAGAAAAAAAAAACATTTTGATATATGAAATTTTTAAAGATTTCAGACTTATTAAAAAGAGGGCTGGCCTATTTTTTCAATATAAAAAACAGGATTTAAATCATAAAACTGTTATTTTATAAAATATTATAATTAAAATAATTAACCTAAACTTAAAGCTGATCATCACAAGTGATTAAGAGCTACTATTAATTAAGTAATGTCACTGTTCTTTCTTTATATATGCTGACATTTCTTCTGCATATTTCTCTTTTGACCTTTCAAACATAGCCACATATACCTGGAAAGAATGATTTTATTTTATTTATTTTTTAATCTCTATAGAAGTACATAAAACACTAAAATGTGACACAGAACAGAAAATACGATCAAATCAATCAATATAAACCTTCAGTTGGAAAAAGTAATTAAATGAGGTTAAATCTTCATGTAAACAATATATGTTGTGTAGAGCAATGTTTTATTGAAATTGATATATCCAATATAATATATGAAAGATTAATATATTTAAAGAAATATTAAAAATGAAGTGGTTTACCCTTTTCTCCTCATTTGTGAGAGATCTCCATCGGGACGCTAATTGCCTTGTAACTTCTTGCTTGGATGGCTCTGATCCCATTTCCGAGTTGGCTTCAGCAACTACCAAGGGACGCTGTTCTTGACAGAATTGGAAGAATGCATTACATGGCTTCTTTGGAGCATTTGGATCTCTCTCAGGCTATGAAGAGTAATACATTTATATTATTCATCTGTTAATGTCCACTCTGTTTCAATCAATATATGATTTGCAAAATATGGATTGTATGTTAATGATATTATATAAAAAACTTGAGAGCAAGTGTACACACACATAAAGTTTTAAATATAATACTTATATTGAACTAATCCTGATACAACAGAATTATATATATATATTTCCCTTTTGTCACTAAAAACTACATATTTTAAATGGGTACTAATACCTTCCATGCTTTTAAATTGCAATGTGCAGAACTAGTTCTAGTACCTTATAAGTGACAATCCTCGGAATGGGTGCAAATACATATCCCACTCATAATATGTTAAATAATTTAGAGCACAATATTCCTCTTTGGAACTTAATATTTACGTATGATTTAAATCCTTAATATTCAATGTTTATAGCATGTCATGATTTTTTTATGTTTACACCTAACTGAGTGCAAAGGGTTATAAAATTGATGATAAGATACTTCACAGTCATATCATAAACAAACATATTTTTTAATTATTCTAATATTATTTCTAGCTTTTCAGCTTTCAAACGAAATTGGTGGCAAATACAGGGGGTTACCTAAAATTGATGTAATTGCTATGACAGGCTATGTCTGTATGAGAGATTTAAGTTCAGTTTTAAGACACCACTAAGTCTTTCAACTTTTGATAAGGCCATCGTAACTTAATTTTGGCTGAATATTATAACGGAAACGATAGTATGAATTATAAATTAATTTCACCTTATCAGCTTTGCTTTTTCTCTTCGGTCCTGGCTTTTTGCCACCAGTAGAATTTTGTTTATCAATAGGTTTTGAAGTTTGCGTTTTAGAACCAGTACGTCCAGGGCGTGTCAGTACTTCAGGTTTCACCTCTGCTTCAACAGAAGCCGTTCGAAAGGCGTCACCGTGCCCGTCCAATCGTTCGACAAGCAGTTTTACGTCCTTACGATAGCGCTTTGTGATTTTCTTCGCCTCATGTATCCTGTAATATTAATAATAATAGATTCAAGCAAGGAAAACACGTAGAGTCTTATTAAACGCGATATTCGACGCACCTATTAATAATTCTTTCATTATCCTGTTGTAACACTTCACATCGTTCCAATAACAACTGATATTTTCGCCTATAAATCTCTTCTTCCGAAGGTAAACTAACCATATCATCGGAGTCGTCAGAAATATTCGAGTTAAGCTGTTGGACTGTCATTTTAATTTATTTTACAGCTTCAAAGTTCAACGAGATCACATTTCTTATTATTTTCAGCTGTCGGCTGTCATTTTTCGTGTAGTTTGTTAATGTTGGTATTACATCACATTCGGATACATTTATTAGTTTTTTAAGAGTCGATAATCAAGGATACATTCGTGTAATATAAAAAAAAATGATTGAATAATAATAATTATTAAGTATTTCTTTATTGTAAATATATTATTACTTATAAAATTTAATAAAGTATATATATCTATCTATCATCGTCGTCGATCTCAAATTGTATTATTTTACTGATAAAGGCTATAACAGAATAGCAGAGAGGGTGGACCCTTACTGAGTTACTGAGTTATAGACCGTTTTGTCTTATTCATTAGTTTTAAATTATATTATTGTATGGGCAACAGTTGTATTAATTTTTGTTTGAGACTAATAAAGATTATTATTATTATTACATGATAAATAATATATACATATATATTTTACAAAAAATTGGCGACAAAGAGACCTAAAATTAATAATAATGTGAAATGTGATCTATATTAATTTACTCTAACATTTTATAATTAGGTTGTGAACTTATTCCGTCGTTACAGTGATGCGCTGTACTTACCCTGATGAAGAATTTTTACTTATAATTAAAACAATTGTCGTAAAAGACAAAAACATAAAGTTCAAATAAGTTAAAATAGCAGACGCATTGCTCAGATAAGAATATAATCCACAAGTACAGTAACTTGTTCTCAAGTCAATTTAAGTTTCTATTAATTTGGAATCAACATGAATATCAGTTTACATTCATATAGGGCCTATTTACATAAGTGTTTTTTACCAAGAGAATTAAGCTAATTTCAGCTATTTTATAATTATTGTTATAATTTCAGCTTAAGCAAAGTTAACACCACGCGGCTAGACAAAATAATATATGATTTACTTGAAAATTACTATGATAATGTTATTATGTTCACTGTATTTCAGTGTTCATGTGTAAAAGGGTTTATTCATAGCTTCCAACATTGCATAAAAACAATACCGCGGGATTTTCAAAAATAGTACCGCATTGTGTTTGCAAACATTTATGTCGAGTACTTAATCACCGAGTTTGCGCAATGGATATGTGTAAACCAAAAGGTTATTTTAGCTTTACTTACATTGATCCCGTGTTTGTAACTTAGATTCCTATTATCTGACTGTCAATATTATTTTTAACATGCTCAATGCAGTGCCAGCTGAATATAGCGTACTAGTGATGATATGGAAATGAATTTAATAATTTAAATCTTATTAATATTAACTTAATAAAAGTATAGGTTATACAAATGCCTTCCAGGATTAGCAATGAAATGGATACCGGCAGTATCGAAACGAACTATGTTTATATATTTCATATTATTGTTTCTATTATACTTATTCTATGCTCTGAATACTTATTTAGTTGACGAAAGAAAGGTAATAATAACCTAAGATAGTAACATTAAAATTATATATAATTAATCAGCATGAATGTATTAATATTATTGTTTTAGCTTACTCAGAAATATTTGTTTTTCAAACGACACATATCAAACTATACAAGCGTCTCAGTGAGATTTGCTTCGTTCTTGGGTATTAATATTGGCGAAGATAACAACTACCAAAGTCAATATCCAGTGAAAAGATTGCCAGATGCTCTTATTATTGGTGTTAAAAAGTGTGGTACACGGGCTTTGTTAGAGTTTTTAAGGTAAGATGTGAAATTTATATTTTTTTTATTAAGCAAGTAATCAAAAGAAATGAAATAGACTGTTATAATACATTAATCTAAAAGTAATAGAATTTTGGAAGATAGAAAGATTTAATGCTACTTGTAAAACGGATTAAACCTGAAATAAATAGTTTTTCTGTTTTAGGTATATTAAATAAATTAAATTCTACTAAAATTTGAAAGCTCTTTTGATTTGGATTGGTCTCAAACATAATTTCAGATTGCATCCAGATGTTAGAGCGGCAGGATCAGAAGTGCATTTCTTTGATAAATATTATCAAAAAGGCTTCGAATGGTACAGGTATGTAATTAGTAGTAACTAAGTTACAACCATACGTACATAATATGTTGGTGTTGGCAAGGCTTATTTGTATCCTACAAAAATGAAGAAATAAATATAAAATTAAAATAAATCTGAATATTATCTGAATTATATTAGGATTAAAAATACACATCATTATCGATCTATTCCTTTAGGAGTTATGTACGATTTATGTGTTTAGAGACAAAATGCCGACAACCATTAAAGGTCAGATTACTATGGAGAAGACCCCGTCATACTGGGTGACGAGATCAGCCCCAAAACGCGTATATGCAATGAATCCTTCGGTCAAGTTGCTTGCAGTAGTGAGAGACCCAGTTACTAGAGCCATCAGTGACTACACTCAGTCGGCAAGGTAAGTCATATAAATTTATTTATTCTAATATTAGAGAGCATCCTGGCCTAGTGTATTAGTATTGGGGACTAGTGTCGCCATACTGTCAATGTTTGGTACAATCACCATACAATAGTATTTTTTATAAGCCGTGATTTAATAAATTTAAAATAGTATAATTCATATGGAAAATATTTGAAAAAATCAAAACACAAAGCTTTAATAAAAAAATGTTTTAGTATGAAAAGTTCAAAAGAAATCTGCAAAGCTTATAAACTGTGTCCCATTTCACTGTCTAATACAAGGCGTACTTTTCTGGAATGTATATATATACATATATACGATGGTTACCACTTACCATGAGGTGGGCCAAAAAAATATATTTCTACCATATTTAATTGTTGTGGTATACACAACCATTTAATATGCAATCTTATTCCGTTGTTGTATTTCCAATTATAAAAAAAAATATATTCCGATCATGTATAATGTGAAATTTTATTCCGTTACATATACGCTTGTTTTAAACAAGTAGCTGTGTATGGTTTTCACTCTAACCATACTTTCACAGCAAAAGACCAAGCCTGCCCCGTTTCGAAGACTTAGCATTAGTGAATAGCACGGTGGGCTGGGGCGGGATACCGTCTGTCGTGGATGCAACCTGGCCACCCGTCAGGTTGGGCGTCTACGCCCGTCCGCTACGCCGTTGGCTCCGAAGGTTCCCCAGGACCAGACTCCTGCTGATAAGTGGTGAGAGGCTCGTGGCAGACCCAGCTGCTGAGATGGCCAGAGTCCAGGTAGTACTTAGTTTTGTAATTTTTCATCATAATTTACTTACATTAAATTTTGCAAAGAAAAAAACATTTGGAGTAATAATTGACGATTTTGAAATAAAATTATGATAAAAAAAATTCCTCCGGGATCCAACGCAGCGGTTTAGCCCACCTTATTTTCCGATGGTCGCGGGTTCGATTACTCGCACGGTACATACATTTGTACTCATGACAGTTGGTTGTTTGTCGATTTGGGTATTTTCTGTGTGTATTATGTATTTACAAAAAAATAAATGTATCCAAGTATTTATATAAGTTGTCTAGTACCCAAAGCGAAACACAAGCTCTGCTTTTCTTGAGACTAGATGGCGTTCTGTGAAATGTCCAGGGGTATTATTATGCTATATACTTCTTAGTATTGCTCCCTTTAATTGAGTGATAGACTTGTCTTTGGGGTGTAAATAAGCTAACAATCACAACTATAAAAGATGTCAAACATTTTTTAAAAGGGAGACAAAAATTTACAACGTACAATTCTATAGGTATTTAATATTACAGCTTTTTGCAGAAATATGCAGGTGAATTATTATACTATATTTTTAACATATAGAGATATATTTTCAAGGAATTCCTTGGTCTGAAGCGCGTGATCACCGACAAGCATTTCTACTTCAACTCGACGAAGGGCTTCCCGTGTCTCCTGAAGTCTGAGAGCCGCTCGATACCTCACTGCTTAGGGAAAACAAAGGGCAGAAGTCATCCACATATCGATCCGACGGCTATAGAGCGGTTGAGGGACTTTTATCGGCCATTTAACGAAAGATTTTATCAAATGTCAGGCATTAATTTTGGTTGGCCATAACATCTGATTGTTGAAGAATTGTTAGCGTTATATCACATCATCAGCCCACTGCAGTCCACTACACGCTGGACATAGGCCTCTCCCAAGGCAGGCCTTCACTGGGCACGATCTTCAGCTTATATATCTTATAACACATGTTGATTTAAAACGTGTGAAATTAGGTAGTCAACTGTGATTTATATTGTATTTGATTGATTTTACTTATATTTGTAGTGAATGAATACTCAAATTTGGGGAAACTATTACTATAATGATATTTAATTCCTATTAATTTAGATAGTACAATTTTACTTTTAAGGATCTAATAGCAAACTAAAATGATATTTATTAAAAAATGTTACCTCCATATCTTCGAGCATTGAAACTTAAAATTTATTAGTTAATAAGTTATTTATAATTGAGTAAAACGATTTTTATTATAAATATACCTGCTACTCGTACATATCCCAGGCCTTTAGCCTAGGTTGAGATTAAAATCAAAATGTCAATACATTTTATTAATGAAACTATTTTAATTAGGGTTTTAGTGAATTAAGCCACTGGCTTTAGCTATATTAGAAAATTGATAGCAATGTAGCCGCTTTCCTAGACCTAATAAGTCATACTAAATAAGTTTTCCATTGTAGTAAGTAGTTATAAATAATTTTTGAAATTTTTGTACTTCATAATTTATACGATTATGAAGTAGCCTCATTAGTGAGTACTTGATAATTTATAGAGATAGTCGTAGGCTATAATAACCTGTCAGTATTAATGAAACTGAACAACTTTCCCAAATATGAAAATACAGTGGTACCTCGATGTACCACTTTTGGGGTGAGAGCAAGATTTTAGATACGAGGACTTGCACATTAAACCTAATGTCTAACAGTTTCTCCCACCTCAGACTAGACCTCAGTTTGTGTGCTATTTCCCTCCTTTTAACCCTCACTTTTAATAGTTGGATTCGCGTGTTTTGCTTTTTGTACATTTATTTTTATAACCATAGGTTCGAAGATGATGTCAATTGAATTAATTTCAATGGAGAGAATTGCTTTAATACGAGCAATTTAACATACGAACAAGGTTACGGAGCGAATTTAACTCGTATGTCGAGGTACCACTGTATTTCTTAATCTACACATATAAATAAAATTGGATGGTCTGTTTGTAATATTGAATTAACAGTTTTTTACTACATGGATATGAATATAAATACGGTACATAAACCAAAATATTTTTTTTACAATTTTTGTCTGTCTGTCTGTCAGTCTGTTCCGAGTAATCTCTGAAATGGCTGAACCGATTTTGACGGGATTTTTTTTGGCAGGTAGCTGATGTACTAAAGAGTAACTTAGGCTACTATTATTTTAGAAAAATAAAGTCAATTTCCACGCGGACGAAGTAGCGGGAACAGCTAGTCCTTCATATAATTCACGTGGTGAGAATGTTTTATGTAATACATACATATGCCCCTCAACTATTGTCATAAATAAATAAATTGGATTTAAAGTCTTTTGGGTAAAATTGTTCAGTACAAACACTAGCGTTACTGCTACACTAAATTATGTCAGCTATGTTTAGGTATTTCTTATTAATCTTATTAAGTAGTTAGTTCTATCCTAGTTCATAATATTTAGTGACGCACGGTATGTGAAGTCCTCATCTAATTTATATTTAGCTACATTTTTACAATTTTATGCCGAGTTGGCTGTAAGTGCTTGGTGATTTATATTGATATAAAAATAACAGGCATTTAAATTTTATGCATATCTACTCATTATGATGTTATTATAGGGTCTAATGACGTATAATCTAATTTATTAAAGATGCATATGCACCTTGACCCTCGCCAATTTATTTAATATAGTATATAGTTCTACAACAAATTCTATAAAAAGTGTATGAACATAGATATGATATAAATTTTCCCCTTCACTCATAAATATTTCGAACACCAAATTTATTTTAGTCCTGGCATTTATTCTCCTGATCTTTCTTGATGTTTTCTCAACTTGAAAAAAAGTGACAGAACACTCGTCGAGTGTTCGCTGACTAATATTTTTTATGGACAAGGGGATTGAGTGTGTCATAGTACATTAACAATTACACGTGTATTATACATGTGTTGTTTAATATATTGTTTATGTATTTTCTTCACTGTAACAAATATAGTTTATTCAATCTATATATCTAGAACATTATTTATAAAATATTTCTTGTTAATGATTTTGACATTTTATTTCAAAATTATAATGTTCTTGTTTATATTCAATAATTATCATTAAGGATTAAGGTATTTTAAACTATTATTCAAAATCTCTGTGGTATGCATTGATGCTAATATTTGGGGGCATGGTTGTTGACAAGCTATTTTAATAAATTAAATGTTATATTCAATTAATTAACTGAAATAAAAACTACAATAGTATACTTGGAACAGTATACTAGTTACTGATGGTAATTCTAATTTAGTCGAATTTAGTCGTTCGTTACGCAATTAAAATTTTATTTAGAAAGCAATTCATTGCATTTGTACGTACACTAATATTTTTTAATACGGTTTATATCCTCTTATTAAGGGTAGTATTAACATAATGGTTGTGGAATGGAAAAGAAATGGATGCCTGTAAATCTGTGAAAGCGTTTGTAATAATACTTATTCAATTTAGTTATTTATAAAATTATCTAGTAAAACATCAGATAACTTTATAGATGATGCTGAGATATCAATATTATATTACATCGTTTAAATATCATACAATCTTATTTATTTCTAATATGAAATTTGAATCATAAACAGTGTTGAAAATATATTACATTAAAATACATAATATCCTTTGATATTGCATGAATTTCGTGAAATTGACAACGACATTTTGAATTTATTGGTAAACGAATTTTTATTAATTATATAGGAATAGGATATTCTAATATATATATTAATATAAGTAAACTAGCCGAAATCCAGGGACCTTATTGATGAAACCTAATCTTAATCTTTCTAAAACTAAAAAAAAAATATTATTTTCTAACATTCTCAATAAATTGCAAAACGCCCACGCCTTATGCTAAAAATTAATTGGCTTTGAGAAGGATGTTATTTTATGAACATTATTCACAATAGCCTCATAGTAATTGTTTAATTTATATTTAATTAAAATTATTATTAAATCTAAACTATTGCTGCCGCCTTTATCCTTAAAGCATTTAAGACATTAATAAACATTTTCAATAAGATATTACATCCTGAAATTAGTTTCATATTTTGGCTTATTCAAAAATATGTGTAGCCTTGTAAACTATGTACCATAAATATGTTATAAAAAATCAGCTTTAGTGACGTATAATAGTCTTAGCTCGTTCTTATTGTGATGAGTCTGCAAATGAGTTATTGAATAAAAAATATGTTACTAATGAAAAGTTAAAACTTATATTATGTTTATTTCAATGAAGATTATTTATGTCTCTTACTGGATTTCGGCTAATTGTCATTTGTAATATGACATTTATAAAATACATTTCAGAATATTTGCTCATTAATTATAACACAATTTATCTTAAGTAATCACTATGTAGGTATAATTTCGCACAAAGCCATCCATAACTCACGTGCCATGTAGTTGCTATATGCAATATAAAAAGCTTTAATTATTCGTATTCTGTTTTATTAATAAAGAAGTTAAATATAATAAAATGTTATTTTATTGTTCTATCGATTCCTGTTTACAGAAAATCCTTTTCTTTGATATCTGCGACTTAAAATGACAAATAAAATCTGAATCCATGACAAAATTTGGTAAGTACACCTACTTAGAAGAGAGGGAAGATTATTTATAGATTGTTTAGAATCTATAAATAAAAACACATCCTGCAGTAATTATAGTAACATGTACTAAAAAGAACACGTTCTTCATTTTTTTTTCTGTATTTGCATGGCAATCTAAATTGTTTGATTTTATTCCAAATTGTGGCATCTATTTTGTAATTGTTATTTTGTACTTGGCCATTAATGCATATTATAAAATAAAATCACCGGCCGCATCCTGTTATGGATAATCTCAAAAAGTACTAATCAGACTATTTCTGAGCAAATCGATTGAAATTCCGTGCGAAGCCGGTATAGGTCACCAATAGTATATAAAATAAACTAACAACTTTTATGAATATTTATATTTGTGTTATTATATTATGAATACACAATGTCTTATAAAATGATATATACACAGCTTTAAAAGCTTATAGATAAATATTAAAATATAAATAAAACTAAATAAAATCACTACTCGTATTATAGGTAGGTAAATCATTTGGCATTACTTGTATATATGATATTGACGAAACACCGACGACAGCGAAAACTATGGGCACTTCATCCTGGTACTTAGAGCTTAGAGCATTGATATCCACTCCCGATGGTAATGTCGATGACTCACTGTAAATTGTTTAAATTTTACTAGGTTTTTATTTATATGTTCTTTGATAAAGACGGAACATTTTTGATATCAGTCAGTGTTTAGATTTTGTTTTAAAGGGTTAAAAACAAGGTTACAAATTATACGATTGTCTTAATCTATACAATATATTGGAATAGATTAAAAGTAGAGAATATTCATACACATCATCATAATTTAAGGTATACAATTATTATATACATGTTCACATGGCATACAGTTTTCTTTCAGGATTTTTTCTGAACACTTCACACAGCGTTATCTAGTGAACTAGACTGATAAATATTAAAATACATTTCTTTTTGTACATAAAAAACACTCAGACCAATACAAACATACTCGTGAACACAAAGGTTTGTATCGTGCCAGGAATCAAACCCGCGACTAATGGAAGTAAGGCGAAAGATTTATCATAATGCGATAGAGATATTTAATGTTACAGTAATTTGTTATAAGAGCCGGTAGTGAAAATACTTACTTTACGCAAATTACACGAAAGTGAGGTACTGGCGGATTAGTTTTCTTAAAATTCTGTACATCTCTATTGTACACATCAAAATCTATAGTTAATGTAGATTCATGATTAACTTCTTTATTGTTAGGTATTATACACAATTTCTTTAGTATAGACGGCATATTTAAGTAATCTTCAGATTTTATTATAGAATCCATTTTAACGGAATTTGATTTTGCAATATTTTTCTGAAAAATACCAGCAGCTGCTTCCATACTTCTATAAAATGAAATTTTTATATCTAACCAGTTATCGAAATAAGATTGATATTTTATAAAATCATACAAAAATTCGTCCTTGTTTGCATTTACAATTCTAGTATTCATCATGCTCTTTGGAGGTATTTCTGCTCTACCAAAATCATTTTCATTTGGTAACCAGTTTTTATCAAACGACTTTGTGATAAAATCATTATATTTATTTTCTTTCTCTATTGTTTCATCTATATTACTCTCGTTGACGATTTGTTTACTAGTACCTGCAATAGCATTTGCTTCATGTGTTTCTGAAAGCCGTTTTAACACATTAAATGGGTTTCGCAACATTTTGCTTCGACGAGGTGGACTTTCATTAACAACACAGTCGGAATCTGAACTTGAATCAAGAGTAATATGTTTTTTGTCAATTATAGTAAACTGCTCATTCATATATATATCGGCATTGTATGATTTATTGAATGTTTTGATGACATGAGATAAAGCTCTTCTGTGTCTAGCTGAAGACATACCTTTCGCTTCAAGTTCTTTTAATTTATTTGCCACTTCTTTTACTTTAGAAATATTCTCGTCATATCCAATGCATATATCTAGTTTTAATCGTTTGTTTCTTGTGTCTTCTTCATCTTCTAATTCAATAGTTTCCAATATATCATCAACAACATCCAAATCCTCAGTGATTCGTATTGTTTCATTATACCTTTCATTGTACATTAGCACCAATCTCTGGAGCCAATTAAAATTACTTGGTACGTTCATGTTTGTTGTAAGCTTATGTAATTTCATTCTCAAGGCCAATCTTTTTATATTATCTAAATGATAATGTTTACCTCGGCAACCACTACGGTCTCTCAATCTTTTCCTTGTGTTATGTATTTGGTTGGTGTTACAATGTGGTACATATGGCGGTGGTTTCATGAAATGAGAAAATCTAGGGTAAAGTAGAAATCTTGGTTGGGAAAAAGAAGGATGAAATAATGGTCTTTGCAAAATAAGATTAAATTGACAATAATTGAAATGGAAACGGTGTCTCCAGGGGTGTTGATTAAATTGTGTGTTTCTTGGAAATGGAGGGTATGTAGGAAAACCTTGTGACGGATTTTGAGCATTGTTTGTAGATACATTTTCAGTTCTTCTAGCTCCAGTATCTTCATCTGTTAGAGAGTAAGCCTCTAAATTAGCTGATGGTGGATGATCATCATTCACATCTTTGGTATTTATATTATGCATTTTAAGATTGTATACTGACTTATTAAAAACAATATTATTTGGCAAATGTTCTTGTTTCGGTAGTTGTACTGTAACAGACACATTACTAAAGAAATCAGGAAAGTTTTCATAATATTTATGTGTATCCTTCCTATGATGTGGACCATGAACTTTTCTTTTCGATAATTTCTGTAAATTACATTGATAATTTGTTAGTGAACATTGCTGTATGGTTTTGTTGCTTTTTAATATATCATTACTTTTGCTAATTTCATTACCATCAGTTGATATGTTATCTGTATCCATTACACAGTCTATTTTTGAGTCTGGAATACTAGTAGTTGCTGCTTTATTGCTCACAATTGTTGTATCACTGATTTCATTACATTGAATACTCTGATCACTAGCAACATGTTCAATTTCTTTGGAATTACTCTCTATATGTTCTGATATTTCGTTTTTAGTATTGTCTTCAATGTTATCTTTGTTTAGTTCAAAGCCATTTGATTTTGACAATATAGAATGCCTGAACACTTTATAGCCTAATCTACTTAGATAAGCGTACACTTTATATTGAAGAATAGTAATTTTTTCACGAAGTAACAGTGAATATGCCTGTTGTAATGATACTGTAACACCATTGTGTTTGAGTAGCAAACAATTCTGAAAAGAAAGCAAATATATAGCCTTTTTTGAAGAAGTAATGCTACAGTGAAAAGATTAATAGCAGTACATCTCGTATAAGTGCAAAGTAGTAATGCATATGCTGTTATTATAATTTAGGACACACACTTAAGGAGGAAGGACAGTATTCTAAATAAGACTGCGATTAATATGACTATAATGATGGTTGTAAGTTACAGTTATGAATTTTACAATAATAAGTTTATTGTATAAAAACTTTATAAATTTATAAATACAATAGACTTACCACTTCAATGAGGAATAAGGCCTCTTCAGGTCTAAGATAGAGGCATTTATCCACATGATGTCCTAAATATTGCCAATGTCCACCAGTATGCTGGGTTACTTTTGCCAACATTAGATCTTCTTGCCACTCTGCATGACTTAGGACACCACTGTAATTAATGGAAAGATACATATTATCATATAAGATTCTAGACCTATGCTTCCTACCTACAATTTGATTCTGTCGAGGAGATGTCAACATTTAATTAAATAAAATGTTCTAGGAAATTATACCAACAACGAAATTCACAAGAAACTTGGCATACTAACCGTGAAGGATATCATCAATTGCTGCTCAATTATTAAACTTTACCCTAAGAGACTAAAAAGAAGCGACACCCTGTAATGTTTGCAGTATTCTTAAAATTCTTAATTTTTTTCTATTAATAAAATAGGGATATTAATGGACCTTAAACCAATTTTGTGTGTAATGTAAATAAACATATTTCTTTCTCGTACTAGTAAACTGCTCTTGCATTGTATGGAATAATAATCTCCATTTTTCTGCAGTAAATGTAGTTTATATTAAAAACTAGACCTCTAGCCATAGAATGATGAAAACTGCTTAACATATGCAGTAGATGTGTGTAGAAGCTGTACACTAGGGGATTAACATCTATTTCTATATAATGTGAAAGTGAATTGATGCAAAAACTGTGAGAGGCATGGGGAAACCTCCCATTATTATATTACATGTTATGTGATTGAGGAAACAAGAGTGACCAGGACTCAGTGGATGCTGGAGACAAGTTATGCGATTGAGTGAAGCAGGAGTTGTGTGGACAGAAGCATATAGCACTTGGTTCTTTTTGTGTATGGATACTGACATGATAATAGTTATATTGTTTTCAATTTCTATTCATGTATACTAGGAAAACATCTGTATTTATGAGTATGATGTTTGTATTAAGCTGTGTATTTCCTATATATACTATGTAATAAAAGATATAAGTAGTTAACTATTTCTTTCTCTAGTACCATAACAATAAGCTAAATTATTAGTGCTATTATCTACTGAAAATAGAGTTATTTTAGATGAATTCTGTAAAACTTGTATTAAGAAATCTTTAACAACCAACAGAAGCTCATATTAGAAAAAATACTACAGTAGCTTACATTTATTATGATTTCTATAATCAATAATCATTGATTTACTTGTATCACATGCTTAATAAATAAAATCAAGCCCAGTAGAAGAAAATAGGAGGCAAATATGAAGCATTTCTTTTTTTTTATTTATGCTATTATACGAATCAATATAGTCTTACCATTTTTCAATCCTTTCCACTTCTATTAAGTGTTTTCTTGCCTCTAAAGCAGTCTGTACTTGTTTCTGCTCTAGCCACGAGCCATTCGATGTAACATCTTTCAATCCATGTTCAGGCAATGAAGTATTTATTTTTGTTGTACCTTTATTTACTATTTCTACGCCTCTGTCAAATATTTTTATAAAAAACTATGTTAGTAAAGAAATCAATATTTCTTTACTTATATAGTATTATATTATATATTTTTATGTATAGGAATAAAAGTGAAACAGTCTCGAAATACTTACGATAATAATGTAGCTTTATTCATAGCAATTATCTTAAATTAAATGGTAGCTAAAAATATTTTTTTAACTGATATTAATACTATATACAGATTTTTAAGTCTTATAAAATAGTATCACCAAGTGGATATAAACATAATTCGAATATTTAGAGAAGTAATTTTTAACATAAGTGTAAAATAATAAAATGTAGAAATGCAATACTATAAACGAGAAATTGGTAATTAAGAATAATGTTGCCCGTTTATTGTCGGTTCTTCGAGCTAAAGATAAGTGAGCAAATTACAATATTTTTACCCCTTAATTTTTCAAATTCATTTATTATATATATTAATTCAGTTGTATAGTGCATCAATAAAATTTTGCCATTTTCAAATATACTATGTATGTATATACAGCGCAGATTTATAAAACTCACAATTTCACAAATAATCTACACAAGAAATTGCTAAACTCTGTATGCGAAAGATGGCAACATTTATGGAAAATGTCTACGGTGCACTTCTTTCTCACCGTTTAACTAAGCAAAGGTATCATAAACATAAAGCCAAATTTAAGTTTCGCTGTTTGACCTTTGCTTATCCATAAGTTGTATGTAAACAACTGCCGTCAAATCCCATAATAGATTTTTTAACAAAGGTGTCTATGAAAATTGTTCTTGATTATAGTGTCCATGATGTATGTGAATGTATTAGGAAATGCTGTTACAGAGTTAATTTCGTTAGTAATGAACAACCGGAAATATCGGTAAAGGATTTACACAGATACAGTGTGCATATGTGAGACTTAACCAGTACACCAAACCAGTTTAGGTACATATATTATATTGTGGTATCTGCTGGGCCAGCTATGCATTACTATAGCTTAATTTTATATTTTCCGATTTGGATCAGAATGTTTGTTAAAAAATTTAAAGGTTTCACCATCACATGACGGATAGAGCATACTTTTTTTCCGTGTGGAAATGCATAGTGGTGACTTTTATTTACTTAACCATGCAAAACGCAACGATACACGATATCCTTTCTAAACGAAAAAGCCGTCATATAAACTCGCAATAAACTTATACAACAAAGTGTCTGGCCGACATAATGCCTAAGTATTCTTATATATATATCGTATTCAGTTGTCATGGTGCTGAATAATTACCGTTCCAAATTTTAATAAACTTGCTGAAAAGGAATTTTAATTAATTTGCATTTTTTTATAGATCAATCATTCCATCTTATTTGTCAGGATGGATATCTGGTATTCCTTTGAAAAGAATTTCTAATTGCCTTTTATAAAATTTAAACAAGAGTTTATTTATAGGCGTTTGTTACTACTCTTATACAGATCCTTGCGTTCCAAGGTATAAAGGTCATAAAGGTCCTTGTCTTGAAGGTATGATAATTACCTGTTAAAATATAAATATAATTTTGACAAATGTGCTACTAATGATAAATGAGCGTGCTATTTCTTATAAGGTTAAGCGAACATCACTATACCATTGTATATAATAATGTATTACCTACATTGATGATCGAGGACTATTGCATTATTGTTATTGTTACGAATAGGTTGAAATGGGAGTTATAGAGTTATAGAGCTGCTATATATTTTCAGATATGAGTCGCTCTTTAGCAGCGTTGTCGCATAAATATCACAAAATATGTATATTTCTGAACTGTATTCTGTCATTAAATTAACATAGGCATATGAAGTATTTGAGATGCAATGAGTGTTGTGATAATATACGTAAATATTTCTTTATGCGGTGATCAAATCTATCGTTATTGGAAGTTGAGTGTCTCAAATTTATGTATGGCTGACGATAGAAAAGTCAACCCGCCTGCGCTATTGTCATACGTAGCGATACTAGCAAATAATTAAATAAATAGATATGATCAAGCTAACATTTTTACCTAATATTTTACCAGGGCTTACGCGTAGGTTGCCTTGGCATCGCAGTCGTACATTCCTAGCATCCTACAATGGAGAATCAGTTTTCTATTTTTAAAAGAATACATACCTACAATAGTACTATTTACCATATAGGGAAAGTGGTACGGGGTAGTGGGACGGACGGTTGTCTGAAAATTGTCTAGTCCCAATTCTCCCAGTCCAAGGTAAGCAGAGATTGTGTAGAATATAATAGACTATTAATTATAATTATATCCCTGAAGAATTCACACAATGCCATCTAGTCCCAAGTTAAGGAGAGCGTGTGTTATGGGTAGGTACTAGACTGCTGATATAAATACTATATTATATTTTGGCCGTATCAAATCGCGGCTGAAGTTCTAGATAATATATTTGTAATAAAAATGTGATAATAAAAACAGTAGAGAAACAAATAAAATTAATAAAAAAAAATTACTTTATTGTATATTTTCTTGTAAATGTTTTATTTTATGTATTTGATATAGGAATTATTCAATTTTATTATCCATATGAGTAAATATGCAGTTTATAAATAAAATTTATGTGTAAGTATCTCTGGAACATGATACTGTTACGTACATCTTAACTGAAAGTTTATAGAAAACAAATGAGACCTATGCTATTCCCTATTATGTTTACAATCTTATTAAATCAACTAAAATCTGTTAACCTCATTTTCGGCGCGACATCGGCATGAAAATGAAACAATTAAATCGTATTATAGAATGACACACAATTGTCGTATACTGGGAAATGCAGTTTGAGGCTGTTTTAATTTGGTCGACTTATGACAACAGAGTTGTAGTTTATGCTACGAGGTTGTAAACTCGTAGTAGCTACGTTGTAACGTAGCATGTCGGTAGCATGCCTGACGGGACGGGTATCGATTAGTAGTCCAAAGCCTGGCTGGTCGAATAAAACCGACGCCAGCCGAACGTGTCCGATGTCACCCGAGAGCTACGTCCATACATAGCGGAAGTAATGAAATGTACAGAAAGATATGAACCGGAAAAATTGTCGCTCTCCTTTTTCTTCGCGTCGCGTCTTATCCGGGTCCCTAAAAAGGCTCCCTTTGTCGGTTTTTCCTTTCAGCACATTTTTCCTACGGGTAACGAATGAATGTTATATGCAAGACGACGTTTTATTGTCCTGTTTAATATTCTTTAACTGTTCCTGTTTTTTTTTTCAATTATTAAAGTTTACATTTAGATATAACAATAAAAAGTATGTTAATAAAATATTTATTTTACTGCTTTGTAATGCAACAACTATTATTACATAGCAGGGATGACAGATAAGTCTTATCGTAGAAAAAAAATATTTTGGAAGTTTTGGAAGTTGAATGTACGTGTACATAGGAAAATTCTACAATGTTGTTGAGAAATTCGTCGCGTTACGAGTTCAATCGCCGAGGGTTGGAAGCGATTTACCGTATTGTAATGCAAGTTAGTACGAGGTGCTTGCCTCCCCACGACTAGGACGCCTCGCCGCTAGCAAAGAACAACCACTATAGTCGCGTTTTCAAGCAAGACGATGCCGGCCGGCATTGATTTTAAATTCTCATTCTAAAAATTAGAAATACGAATCCCGAATAGAAATCGAATTGATGTCTGTTTGTGTTGTCTCCGCGATCGAAGGATGGGAAGGGGGTGGCGCACCCCGGATACGTACGATGTTATTTATGGTATATTTTGACGTGCGCGCTCGTTGCTAACTTCAAGTCGCGTAGGATAATGGGGTGATGGATAGTGTTATCGGTTGCTATTCACGGTGAACCGTGTTCAAATCGTGCTTTTATTATGGCCGTGTGTCGTGGAAAACCCAATAACATTGCCGATTTACATAAACCGGCATTCTTTCCGTGATTTTATAGATCGTGCCTACCGGCTTTTCATTGAATGCGGATTTTCTTCTCAATGCACTGAACACTAGGTGAATGTTTATTTGGCAGATAAAATATTGTCAGATATATTTTTCTAAGAGTGACGTGTGTTAAATTTATTTGTTGAGTTCCTATATATGTGAAAAATAAATACTTCACAAAAATTAGAAGGTAAGTTTATTTTAAATAATGAATTATTAATTAATTATTATTCAAAAATTAAAGTTGTACCTTTATGCTTTTTGCAATTGAATTAGGTATTGTTAGTGAATCTTAAAATTTAAATATATATTCTTAAAAATGTATCTTATGTTATTTTTATCCTTAATAGTACGTATTAATTTAGATGATGAATGAAAATAATATATAATATTCTAAATTAATATTGCTAATAGCGCCATCTAGCGCTCCGTTGTTAAATTGATTGTTAGCGCTTGCTCTTACCACTACTTGTGGCGCTAAAGTGTCAGCCGGCGACACGCCTGCAGTCACGCGGCGTTGACGCGCGTCGCAACATGTTTGCGTGGGTGTAGATCGCTTCGTGATAAACAATCTATGTTTTTATACTTATCATATCAATCAAGTGTTTTAAGTAAGCGGTTTCGTGAAAGACCGGCATGTACTTCAAGTTCCGTAATGTACAATTTGTGTTTATTGTGAAATAAATGAGAGTGTTGCATCTGTGTGTGTGTTTTGTTTTTACTGCGTCAGGAGGCAGGATTTTGGCCGCGTAGTTGAAGGTCTAGGTCCGGCATGAGAAAAATAAATGGTAAGAATTGGATGCACGTTCTAAAAGGAATATATTAATTATGCACAGAAGTGTTTTGCATGATAAGAATTCTTACCTACTAACATAATAGATAAGAGTTATGAAAACAGACACCGGGTTGTGGTCAAAGATAATGAACGAATATAAAAACGTGCAAAGATAATTATAATGGAGTACATTAATAAATGTCAATAACAAATATGATAACCATTTTGCATGGCTTCTTATATTGTACATATCCTTACCTACTATGTATGCATCGCCATTGTAACATGGGGAGATCCGAAGAGACTGATCAACGAGTCTCATATTATATTGAAGACAGTTATAACACCTAAAATTAAAAAAAAAATACAATCTAATTGAATGTGCTATTTAAATTATGAAAGCAAATACTAATTATAAAATAGAAAGCATCCATGTTTTCTCTTAAACTATTGTCAACAAAAGCTACTGTTATCTGGTATTGAGATAGAGTTGCTCAAGCGAGGAAATCATGATCGAAATCATTAACCGTAGCGGATCTTGTAAAATGGTCCATAAAGGTAATCCCACAATATATGATGGGTTGCTGTCATGCCGCACAAGGCGTTGGATTACGAAATTGGCAGTTGCATTACAATCAAAGAGG